AGAGAGAGAGGGAGTCACAGACTGAAACAGGCTCCAGGCTCTGAGCTGGCAGCCAGCACAGAGCCCGACGCGGGGCTCGAACCCACGAACCGCGAGATCATGACCTCAGCGAAAGTCGGACGCTTAACCGACTAAGCCACCCAGGCGCCCCTACTTCAACTCTTTTGAACGGCTCCCCATCATCCACCATCCAAACACCTCACGTTACTGTTCAAGGTCCTTCATGCCTTACCCTGATTTGAACTTCCTATGGTTCCCAAACACACACCATGGGCTTTCCTGCCTCCATGCATTCGTGCCTGTGGTTCCCTTGCCAGGAATGCCCTTACCCTCCCCCTAAGGAGGCATAACCTCTGCTATAATTTATCCAACATCCCATTTCCCAAATTCTGTTCATCCCTGCACCTCTGGAAGCACTTTGCACCCTGTATGTGCTTTGTCCATTGCACAACTCACGTTCCTCTGTCAATACCCATACACACTGGAACTCCCTAGCTAGACTGTGACCTCCATGAGGGCAGAAACATTATGCTATTCATCTCTAGATCCTTACAGTGGAAACAGATCCTGGCTCAAAATGGATGCCAACCAAACAGAACTACATGAGGTTCGGTCCAGAAACTGCCTTTTAGGAGCTCACAATCTTGTGACAGAGTAAATCAACCATTGATCAGCCAACCTACATTTACTGAGGTCCCACCACCCGATGGGGGGGAGGAAGAAGGAAGTGAAAAGAATGAGGCCTCATGCCTCGGGGCAGTCAAGAAGATACACCGTCCATAGATCAGCAGGTCGCAATGTAAAACACGACACAGCCAAATGTTAGGTGGCACAGTGGGATGCATCAAGAGCCCAGGAGAACGGGGAGTGACTTGCATCGTGGAGGAAGTTGAGGGGGGAAAAAGATGAGAACACGGGTGGGAAATGTAAATAGCATTACTGGATGGCAGTGAGAGAATGGTCTGGGCAACATCTTGGGATAGAGGGGTGGATGGTCTGGAAGAGGGAGGGCCCAGGGGCAAAGGAATCCGTCTGGATGCTGGTGACTCCTTCCAAGAGATGAGAAGGACCTCACGTACAGCTATTATCAGGAATAATGGATACGTGGCTGGAGCAGCGTTTTCCAGATTTCACAGATAAAAATACAGGACACAGTGCAAAAGACATACTTAAACTGAAATATGATTTGTTGGATATCCGAAAGTCAAATTTAGCTGGGCCTCCCCGCATTTTCTCAGGTATCCCTACACTGGTGGAGAGCAAGTCTGAGCCAAACCACAAAGGCCTCGAATGCCATGCCAAAAGGTTTACCCTCTCTGCTGCCCCTGAGAGTAATGAGGAGCCACTGATGGGTTTTATTTAGCTTGAGGACGGACATAATCAGATATGCGCTTTGGAAAGATGGCTCAGGTTGTGGCAAGGAAAGGGGATGGGGGAGCAGCTAGAGGCTGTGACAGCAATTCAGGGGACAGAGGACCAAGGCCTGGGTCACGATGGAGGCAGTGAGCGTAGAGGAGGAAGGCGAGGGGCACCCTGGTGACGCTTAGCGAGAAGAGCTTGAGCAGCTGCCATAGAAGAGACCTCTCCCAGCCTCTTCCCTGGCTGGTCAGTTTCGCACACTTCCCTTTCCCCTTGGGCTCCGGCGCCGGTCCAGAGCACACAGTGTTCTCCCAAACAGATGCATGCATTCTGGTCCCGGTGATTCACTGCCCCTGGCTAGAAGGGCCTGCCTGCTGGGGCAAGGACCAGGCAACCCCTAAGAACATTCCACAGGGCCCCCTGTGCAAACCATTACCGAAAGGTTCCCGTCAGGGAAAACAGCAGGTGTCTAAACAGTGCTGCCTTTTCTGGGGGTGATTTTTAGCACAGCTGATGAAAGAGATGGCCTCATCGTGGTGCTACTGGCCGGGAGGGACATCTAGAACACTCCCCTAGCTCGAGCCTCGCACTCCTTGGGGATGCAAGAGCCAAGAAGGCAGAGGCTGCTTCTGCGTGCTGATTTGTTCCACTCCAGCCCAGACACTGGTGCCAACATCAAGTCCCACCCCTATCCCGTGAGCCTCGAGGCTGCACGTGGATCCACACGGGGCTCAGGCAGGGACCAGAGGCTGACAGCAGAGAAGGGCTCTTCTCCACATGCTGCAGAGCTGGGCACAGAGGATGGGGTGAGAATTTCCCCATGATCCCTGCTGCCTTTCCCAGGTTCTGTGGGATGCAGCAGTCCCTCAGGGCCTGGGGTGGAGTGGCCAGAACCTTCCTTGGTAACCTCGGAGGCCTTTATGCTATTGGTAGGGAGGCTGTCTAGTTAAGGGCAGTGGCTCTAAACACAGATGGAGCTGAGTTCTTGGCCTCACTCTCCCCATACTAGCTGCGGGCCTTGGACAAGTTATTTAACATTCTCTGCGCCTAGATTTCCACTACCAAGGTGTAAAATGGTGGTAATCAGGGCGCTCGAGGCGACTAAGTGAGATTATCCATATAAAGCACTTAGCCTTGTGTTTGACACTTAGACACCATTTACTACATGCTACCTAGTAGAATTGTGCCCCTTTGATTTTATGCCCTCTCTGTTCTCCCTCACCCCTCATCAGATTCTCTTCCCCAAGGTCACAGCCCGGGACCATCCCTTCAGGCCACCATTGCCTGGCGACGGACCTCCTGCCCCCAAAGATCCTTCTCTGAGGAACTCAGTCCTTGCTCCACAGATGACGGTTCTCTGGGGCCTCTCGTCCTAATCAGAGCCATTTGCCCTCTATACCGCAGCCTTTTGCCTTTTATCTCTTGTGTCAGTGTTGGAGAAGGAGCCACAGGCGGAGGGCAGAGAGCAGGGGCAGAGAGCAAGCTGGCTCGGTCTGGTGGGGCAGAGGAGATGCTGAGACTCTGTCCTGCCAGCGCTTTTTCAGTGTGGGGACACAGCCGCCACCAAGGGACTGAGCTTTCTGAGAATGCCCACCCCTGCTCCAGCGCCCCAAAGCCCCCTCCCCAGCAGCCTCTCGGAGCGCGTGGCTCGGTGGGAGGAAGGAGAAGGAAGGAGCAAGAAGTTCCAAGAGCTCAAAAGCCCACCCCCCCTCCACGGCCCTTCCTGCGCCGCCCCCCACCTCGTATTTCGCTGCTCTCTTGCAGGAGCTCCTTGTGGCCCGATTCGCACCACACACCGAAAACCCTGGCGGACAAAGCTGGTCTTGAAAGGAGAAGGGGACCTGGAGAGCCAAGCAGCGACCCCCCACCACACGCGTCTGCTTGTTCTCCAAACTGCAAGAGGTCCCCAGAGGCGCTTCCGTGCCCCTGCGGCCTCCTAGGAATTATAAAAAGCAAGTGTGAAAATGTCCCCGGTGCTGAAGGGAGCAGTACTTCTTAGACAATCGAGCCGATCTGACCAGCTTTTCCCCAGCTTTACGAAAACGCAGATTTCCCTGTCACACATCATCCTTTCCAACTCGGGGGCGGGGGGGGGGGTGGCGGGAGGCAAGCAAGCCCTTGAGAAAAAGAAGGCACACATAGCTGTATTCAAGCCGACTGCATGGAGAAAATAAGTAGTCAGAGGGCGGGGCCGGGGAGGGGGAATAGAGATGTTCTGCTTCGAACATCTGGGAAGTGGTATCGGCCCTGTAAAAACGAGGCTGGCTGGGGGGCCTTTCCATTGGCCTTGCCCAGCTGTCTTCCTCCCACTCAGTTAGAACGAAATGTTCTTTTTGTGGTTATAACCTCTTTTCACTTGGAATGACTTGCCCACGTCTGGACCTTGCTCAGGGCCTCGGCTCCGAGAGCGGCTTGCACGCAATAATGAATTACCCAGTGAGCCCCGGGGGCAGGTCTCCGCCCCGGGCCCGCCCACTGTCTTCCCCGCCCTCTGGCCTCGGCCCTTTGGAAGAGTCGCGGCAGTTGGCTCGCGGGCGACTCCCAAGCCCGGGCAGATCGGCGGCACTCGCCTCGCCTCACCCTCCCCTGTGAGCACAAGTCTTCCCACGCGCTGCGGCCCCGGGAAGCGGGGAAGCCGGAGGGCGTGTGGGCTGCCTTGCGGCCGCCAGACAAGGGCGTGGCGGGGAGGGTGGCCAGGGCGGCGGCGGCGGCGGCGGCGGGGCTACCCTGCCTGGGCTCCCGGGGAGTACCAGGCTGACTTACCGGAGGCACCCGGGAAGATCGGAGTTCTTTAGACTTTCCAAAAGCCTCTGACAAATGCCCTGGCCCAAACTCGTCCAAAGAAACAGAACAGCATCCACCAGCAAGGGACTTGGGGACGGGTGAGGGAGGCAACGTTTGGCTTCAGAAACTTGAGGACTAGGGTGGGATTAAGGCGGTGGGCAGGGCCGGGCCGGCTTGGCAGAGGCCCGGGAAGCCGAGCTTCCGGGGTTTGGAGCCCAGTCTGGGGTCAAATGCCTTGGGCGCACCAGGGCAGGTGAAGGAAAAGGGGACCGTGGCCAGGATGTGAGGCAGCAGTGGTTCTCTAGTTTGGCTGCAAAGTAGAATCGCGGGGGCGGGGGGGGGGGGTAGTTCCCCAAATCCTGATGCCCAGGGCCTCATCCCAGATTAATGTTATCAGAATCCCTGGGGGGTGGGATCCAGGCCTGAGTAGTTTTAAAAACTCCCCAGGTCAGGGGCGCCTGGGTGGCTTAGTCGGTTAAGCGTCCGACTTTCGCTTAGGTCATGATCTCGCGGTTCGTGGGTTCGAGCCCCGCGTCGGGCTCTGTGCCCACTGCCATCTCAGAGCCTGGAGCCTGTTTCAGAGTCTGTCACTCCCTCTCTCTCTGACCCTCCCCCTGCTCACGCTGTCTCTCTCTGTCTCCCAGAAATAAATAAAACATTTAAAAACATAAAAAGAAAAAAAGACCTCCCCAGGTGGTTCCAAGGTGCAGTAGCAGCTGAAAAACGGCGGTTACAAGAGCTGCACAGAGCTGGTCCCAGGACCTGCCGTCTGGAGCATACCAAGGAGCTCCTTAGAAAGGCAGAATTTCTAGCCCCACCTCAGCCCTACTGGATCAGCATCTGCTTTTTTTTTTTTTTTTTGGTTAATGTTTATTTCCTTGTCTTTGAGCGAGAGACAGCACAAGTGAGGGAGGGGCAGAGAGAGAGGGAGACACAGAATTGGAAGCAGGCTCCAGGCACTGAGCTGTCAGCATAGAGCCCCACCAACCGCCCCCACCAACCTTGAGATCATGACCTGAGCCTGAGTCGGATTCTTAACCCACTGAGCCACCCAGACACCCCCAGCATCTGCATTTTTAAAGTAACAGTTTTACTAACATATGATTCACATGCCACAAAATACACTCTTTTGAGATGTACAATTCAGTGGTTTTTACCATCTTGTGCAACTACCACCTCTATCTATCTACCTGGTTTCATTTCCATCACCCCCAAAAGAAACCCCATACCGATTTAGCAATATGAGTCTGCATCCCCCCCCCTCCCTCCAGCCATGGGAAATCACTACTTTCCGTGTCTGTGGATTTGCCCTTTAAGGATATTAGCATCTGCATTGAACAGAATGCCTCTGCCTGTCTGTCACAGTCTGAGGAGCACCAGTGTGAGACGTTCTCAAAGAATCAGCCCTCACTCCCCTCCCACACTTGTCATGCAGACATGTGGGTCCAGAGTTGCTGGATTTTCTGCTTTTTTAAGAAAAGCCCGAACTCTGGACTTTTATGTCAAATCATCCACTTTTAAAAGTTGGCAGTTAACTCAAAATTTTGGAAAACGCTGTTGGGGCCAAACCAAACGGCTGAGGGCTGGATTGAGCCTGTCAGCTGCCACTTTGCAACTTCTGAGGGTCACCAGGTTCTTACCCACTGCCACCCAAATCCTTCCTGCTCCCGCCATAGTCTATTTCTCCTTGTTACACTTTCCATGGATGTGAGGGAACGACGGCTTAGTACCCCTCTCATAGAATCTTCTCACGCATCTTCCTTCCCTTCTCCAAACCCGTAGCTATGCATTTATCAAGGACCTACTATGCACTTGGTGCTTTGCATGTTTAAAAATCACTTAATTCTTTACAACAATCTTTATGGCAGCTATTATTATGCCAGTTTTAAAGATCAGGAGACTGGAGCTCAGAGAGGTTAAGTAACTTTCCTGAGGTTGCACAGTCCTCAAGGGTCCAGCTGCTAGACGTGTGTGCCTGAGCCCTGTCCACCTCATCACGCTGCTTCTACTTTACCAATCTATGCCCCATTTTTCATCTCTTTCATCTTCTCCGTTTCCCCCAGACTCTGGACACAGCCCTCTGATGATGGACTAGATTGTCAGAGGGCATGGTCTCAGTGAGCCTACGAGTTAGGCTTGCTGGGGAGATCCTCAGTTCCAAACACTCGGGCTTGTTTCCCTGTAAGTACACTCAGTCTTGTCAAATGTGCGCCCTGATCTTTGGTTTGGAAAATGTGGCCAACATAAGTGAGCCATGCTCTATTTTGAGGCTGATTCATATTCAGCTTGTGGTCAACTCCCGCCTTCCCTCGGTGTTTTTCTTGTTTATTTGTGTTGAGCTAAATTATGTTGTTAGGTTTTGTCGCTAACAAATCCCTTGCACTTGTCCCCCCCGCTGAATTTCATCCCGGGTCCACAGGGCCTTCTTCCTCCAGCCTACTCACCTGGGTTTGGCCCCCTCCCAGTCTGTTTTCGTTTTCTAGAAACAGTCTCCACCTTCCCCGAGTGTCCCATCTGTCTCTCTCCCTTCACTGCTCTGGAAATTCCAGTTAGGTGCATTGTAGCAGGAGGTGCAGACAGGTGGAGGGAGGCAGAAGCCATTCCCTCCATTGGTTGGGGGTGAGGGGGGGTTGGCTGTGGCTGGGGAGTATCCCCTTAGGGTGGCCTTAGGCTGGAAGCTCTATCCAATGCCAGCTCCGGACCTAATCTGGCACCAGGAGGGGTCTGTGGACCTCTCTTCAGAACAGAGGGACCCCCAGTCCTGGGAGACCCTTTGGCAAGAAGTTCTTTAACTCAGTCCTGACCCGTTGGGACATCCCCTTGTCATCCAGGCAGGTTGCTAGGCACAGGGTTCTCAAACAATGTAGTGTGACAGTTCCCCAGCCGCCCCAGGGGCCTCCCCGGGCCACAAGGGTGTGGTTTTCAGTCTGGGTACATTCTGTACCCTCAACCCGGGCGCGGCGGGTCTGTGGTTCCTGGTGCTGTGCAGCAGAGCCCCGCCCAGGCCTTTCCTCTCCAGCTACAAAAACAAAGCTGAGACACCAAGAGGGGAGGAATCGAAACAGAGGCTGGTACTGTATAGCTGGTCCCTGGAGACTCGGAGGCGGGCCTGCTCCCTTCCCCCTTCCCTGAAGGTGTCCCGTTGGTGGAAGGCCAACAGCGTCCCAGCTTCTCTACTGCGGCTTCTTCCCTTCCCTCCCCACGCCTAATTGAATGGCTGCCTGATGCAGTGCTCTCTGGAGACTGGCTGTCACTGGCTTCCCCAGAGACCCCACACCGTGGCTTTCCTTTCCCTAGTAGTGCTCCTGTCTCCACATTCCTCTGGCCATTTCTCGCACTGCCAAGGGCCCGGGTCTCTGGTATTAACATTATTATTATTATTATTATTATTCCTATTACTGTTATTAGCTAGCACCACTCACAGGCCCATGTGGTACTGGGTGCTTTTAACCTTTGCAGGCTTTCATCACAGCCACTTTGTGAGGGAATAATAGTAGCTGATAACCTATTTCACACTCACTGCATGCTGGCACTGTTGCCAGCCCTTGCCATATCTCATTTAATCATCACAACAACTGTAAGGTACGTCCCTGTGCTGTTCTTGATCACATTTTACAGACAAGGGAACTGAGGCACAGAGACGTCCAGTACGGTACCCAAGGGTAGAATCGGGATTGGAACCCATGTCTGTGCGCTTGAGCGTCCGTGATCGTTCCATTGGACTGGACTGCCTCCTTTCCGCCCTCCTCCCCGGGACGGTTCCGAGGCCTGGACAGTCCTAACAATATTTTCACTGGAGGATAAACTAGCTCGCGCCGCAAACGGGAGGGAGTGTTCCCGGGAGAAGCTGGGAGAGGCAGGCGCGACCTTTGCTCAGTTGTAGGGATTTCCCAGGACTCCCTGGGAGTCTAGCCACACCCGGCTGCTGCTTGTGCTGGCGGTGTCAGCTCTGGAGTGGGGTAGGTGAGTGAGTGCGTGAGTGCGTGAGTGCGTGAGTGCGTGAGTGCGTGAGTGAGCAGGCTCTCACAAGCAGACGGGAGTCGGGGTCGGGGGAGGGGTGGAGGTGGGAGGAAGGAGGGGACTGAGGAAACTCACCATCCCGGAGCTCTTTGGCACCCTCTTCAGGCCACACACGCTCACTGCCGCTCCTTCCGGAGTGACCAATTTCTACCATCTGACTCTCC